GCTGCACGGGGAGAACATGGAGACTCCACGCAGGAAGATCCTGGGTGTCCTCACCGGGACGCCAACCAGCGACCTTCTAGCTGTGAGGCAACAGCACTGACCACCGAGCCACCTGTTGACGGTTTTGAAATAGATTTTTCTCTTTGATCGCCACAAGATCTGAGCAGAGTCGGACATTATGTGGTCATTTAAATGAATCATCTGTGGAGCTCTGAATGCAAATCACCTGAACTTTGCAACTTCTGAATGTTTTTTCAGCACTCGGGTTCAAAAAAATTTACCTGAAGCATTCACCTGAATCACAAACAATTCTAAATGAACCGTGTAAGTTTTCAACCATCAGTGAACACGTGTGGGAAACAGAAAGGGCAGCACCGAATGTAAACAGGAACACGAACAAGAACATTTCAGCTTTAACTCATGCAAAGTAGCTGAACTGTTCATTGAATGAATAACTGAGAGAGATCTGTAAATCTCTGATGACAAGAAGATGAGCGTTAACAGTAAAAATCTCTTGTACCTGCATTAAAGATATTAATGATGAAAATCAGCCTGGAGATAATGGTCACCTGTGTCTTTTCTGGTGTTTTTCACTGCAGCTGCAACATTTACATGATCATCTGATCTGAGCTGACACTGTGGTGATTTGTTTGGTGCATTAAGAGAACTTTGAATGACGATATACTCAAGATAAACACACAGAGTCTAACGAGCAGGTGCATCAGAACTCTCAGTTAATGGAAAATCCCAAAGATGTCCTGCACACTCGCATCACTTCATCGTTGATATTTTTGTTTCCATCATTTATATAAAGTGGAGAGTATTCAGATCCCTTCACTTTTTGCACACTTTGTTGTCTTTAGAAGTTTTTGCAAATTATTGGAAAAACAGCTCAAATGGAATGGATTGAACATCGGTCACACGCTGGTGTATCTAATGTCCTACGATCCAGACTGCAGGTCGGGACAAAAACCAAGACAATAAGTTCGATTAACTCACAGCAGATCTATCCATCCATCCATCCATCATCTCTACACCTTAATCATCACTAGGGTGGTGGGGGAGCTGGAGTCTATCCCAGCTGACTCAGGGTGAAGGCAGGTTCACCTGGACAGGTAACCAGTCTATCACAGGGCTACACTTAGAGACAGACAACCAAGCACACTCACATTCACACCTACGGACAATTTACAA